AAAAACACATTTATTCACTGCTAGGGTTAACGATCACTGGAGAAAGGATTTTGAGATGAGATGTTAAGGTACTATTAGAATATTTTATTGTAAAATTGAAAAAGGAGAAAGAGGAAAAAAGGCCCAGTAAGCATTCTGTATCATTCATATCTGAAGGGAAATAAATATTATAATAATGACAGGTAATAATAAATATAAGGACACATTTAATTAAATATGACCTAATAAATAAGTAAATAAATAAAACCATATGAAAATTGTAATTGTCAAAGCAGCAAGTATAGGAGGGACATGGGCAGGATAACAGAGCTGTGGTTTCTCAGACATCATCATGTCCCCCTCTTCTACCCTCAACATTACCCACAAGTGTCCTTATCCCCGTCTCTCAATCGAAACCACTGAAGTTAGACACCAGCTTCAAATGCCAACCCCACCCACCGCTAGTATCTCCATTAAAACCCCACCCCCCCTCCATCCCTCTCCCACTCCTCGCCCCATTACCTGAAAAGATTTGTGTGCTGACAAGATTATGGAATTAAACAGATCTCCTATTTACATCAAGCTATAATGTATTTTCCCACTGCATTCAAAACATAGTACATGATCATACAGTATCATTCATAAGAATGTCATGACCCCCATTCCCTCCCCTTATCCAAGCCTCCAGTTGAGCAGTAAGGATGGACTTAGGTGGATTTTGGCAGTAAACACATGACAATCCATAATAGATCTTAAAATGAAAATGGAGGTCTTGTTTTTAAAGATTTATACCCATCACCTTATAGAGGTAGTGCAGTAGGAATGCTAAGTATACACGTACCCACTGAGCACAGACGTCAGTTAAACGTCTAATTTTGATTTACATTTAGTTGAGTTGTCAACTAACATGAATTAAACGTGAAATCAACAAAAAAAATCACAATGTCATTAGATTGAGGTTAAAAGCTGGGTGAAAAAAATACGAGATTCCCTGACGTTGATTACTTTTTTCAAATCCAATCAGTTTTTCACGTTGATTCAACCTCGTCACATTGAATTGTTTGGGTGAAATGATGTGGAAACAACATTGATTCAACCAGTTTTTGCCCAGTGGGTAGTCATTTGATAGAAAGTAACATGGCTTCATTCAGGTAGTTGTTAATAAATGTATATAGAAAAAGCACAGTAAACTATCTTTATGTCCCCCAACCCCTGAAAAAGCATATAACCCCAGAACCTGAATAGAATATAGAAATATACAAGTACATTTCTAATCAGCTGCTTGGCAATAATAGCATTAGTTTAGCCTTTAGGCTACTGCTTTATGTTTATAGGACAAGCAAAGGTCAAAGGACTTGTCAGGTTACTGTAGTGCACGGCTTGTCTCTTAGTGCAACTAAGACTATTGCTGTTACCTCAGGATCTGGATCAAACATAAGACTGACTGTCTTCCTGCATCAGTCGCAGGCCAAGCTCTGCTTACCATAGACATTTGGTAACCCTAGAAGGGTTAAAGCCTGTCAGACCATGGCAATTTGACAAATTACAAATTCTCTATTTCAATGCTGCTAGCAGTGGTGAGAGGCTGCTGGTCAGTAAACATTTCACAGAGGCATCATCAAAGCCAACATTGGTGTCTTTACAGTCAATATAGGAATTTGACTGCACTCCTATAGAGAAATAATAATGTCCAGTTCAACTGACAAGTGATTGAAATGGAGTTGACCTTTGACTCTAATCAAAACGCCCGTTTCTTCCTTTAAATAAATCTTTGTGAGAGGAAACAACATGCAGATAAAAGAGAAATGGGCTGGCAGTTAGCTAATAAGAAGTAGGCTAGATTTTGGCAATGATTAAAACCCATGAAAATAAATACAAATGTGCATTGGTATATCCATATGTCCAGTTGGTTTATGATTCTGTGCACAGTGAATAAACTAATGTCGATAACTAAAATAGCTATTTATCTCTCAGCTGCCAACTGGCCTGGAATGTTACAAGATAATTAAATGTACATATTAGAATTCATAGATAGATTAAACATTACTTGGCAACTTCACTTATATGAGGGTCAGGAATGGTCTGTAAGTAAAATAGGCAGTAACATTCACTAGGAGTTAGTGAAAATATGGTTCACTATTGAATATGTGATGATGACCAAAAAAGGAAAGAAAAAGAGAACCTTCCTTCCTTCCTTCCTTCCTTCCTTCCTTCCTTCCTTCCTTCCTTCCTTCCTTCCTTCCTTCCTTCCTTCCTTCCTTCCTTCCTTCCTTCCTTCCTTCCTTCCTTCCTTCCTTCCCGCCCTGCATTCTAGTGTGTCTCTTGGAATCATCCCCCAATGTATTCTAGAGTGTGTTTTGATGTTCCTCCATTGGTTTCTTGTGTTCCCTGAGGGAGGTACTGTGACATCATTCCCAACCTGTCCTGCACAGCACAACAAATGACTTGTGCTCAAAATTTGACCTTGTATAGCTCTTTAAAAGCAGATTTGAAGTCTACTCCCAGTAAAGTAGTGTCTCTGCTCCCTCTCTCCATACTGAATAAAACATTCACCCAAATGCAAGCGAGAGGGGACTGCAGGCACCTCCTTAAAATGTAATGGAGTTAGACTCAAACGGATCAGAAGGCTTTCTACTCTAACTCTGCACCTCTCTGTGCTGCTGATGATGACGCCTCCCCTCACAAGATAATTGGCTGGATTCAACCAGTCTTTTCCATCAAAACAGCACACATCTATGTGAGGGGAGTCTATCTGACTTATTTGAGAAAAAGCTAGTCCTATTTTATGTGTGTGAATAGTACTGCAATGCAGGCTCAAATTGATATGAGCCATATAGTTATATATGTTGAAAAAAAGGTAACAGTAATGTTATACAATGATAAGATAGCTTGTGCCATAAACAAATTCTAACCTGTGCCATACAGATGTAGGATCTTAATTTGATCACCCTGTTGCATGAGAACTTTCCTGCAATGCAGGACATTTTAAACTTGTAGTGTATTTGAGGTTTAAAAAGGCTTCTGAAGTTTGTCATTTCCACTTTGAAATTTCAGACTTGATTTTCCCTTACAAAATATGTTATCAACCCCTACAAAAATGTCCATTAATTACAGTATAATCCACATAATAATTCACATTCCCTGTTGCTGCAGGATTATTTTCCTGCTGTAGAAAACTGGCTCAAATTAAGATCCTACATCTGTACTAGTGTTTTTTTGTGTTATGGTAAGGGAAAGGAGTTTTTCCTGAGCATGTGACCTGACCAGAAAAAACTCCTGGGCCTAGTTCAAATAATCCCTGAAATGTAAATACACAAATACTTCCTTTGTCACAAAACAGACCCAATGAACGAAGCAATACATCCTGCTAAGTCTACTGGCTAATGAAAGTGGACACACAGATCTTGGATCAGCTGGCCCTCCCCAAATCCTAACTTTAACTATTAACCACCTTAACCAGAAAACTGACCTAAGATCCGTTTCTATGGACAATCTCATCCGACCATGAGGCACACCTGACTCGAGACCTTTTAACCCCTGACCCGAGAACTGCAGTAAGCTCCTGAAGCAGAATGTGAGCCAATGGCCTTTGCTCTATAGGCAGAATAGAATGAAGTAGGATGACATAGCCCCTACAGACTGATCTAAGTACAGTTGAGCATTTTCTTCCTAATGTTTAAGGTTAGTATTTGGGTAAAGTGAGCTGATCCTACATCTGTGCCTACGGGCAACTTTGAATAGAATGGAGGCTCAGAGTGGTTGCTGCACAGATGGGAGACAAAACTAAAAGTTCAAGGGTCAAACTGAGTGCCCAAAGATGAAGTGTAGCCTATCAGTAAACGGATGATAAAAGGCGTCTTTCAAACAAACAAACAAACACTTCATAATGTATTCCATCCCACAGAAAGAGCGCAGGGCAACATTCTCCTTCACTAACCTCTCCAACTGACTTCTACATGATCCCATTTCACATTTACATACTCCTTAGTAGTCAGCAGTACACTGATGGTGAATAATCCAATGCCGACTTGAAGTACTTCTCTGTCACTGTTATGTGTACTAAACTAAAGGCAGAATACTGCATTTTAAGTATTTTTGATTGTTAGTTTGTACTAGACTAAACATTATACTGTATTGTATTATATGATTGTTAGTATTTTGTACAAGACTGATAAAGAGAAAGAGAAAAACATTTGGTCCTCCGATCCCAAGGGGGTGCAGTTAGCTCGGTTGCTATGGAAACTTGAGAAAGAGCAAGTTCGGGACTCACAGAGAAAGATAATCTCTTTCCAGATATACTTAGAATCCTCAGATCAAGTTTGAACCCTCATTTGTCCATTACATGGTAGGAAAAACCTGAAGTCTCTTTTTGTTCACTAGGGTCCTCTTTGAGTTCATCATAAATCCATATTCTTTTTAACACTGTTTCTTAGTCTGTCTGTGGTGTTCTTCTTCACTCCCAAGTCTCCAAAGATTCTGAATTGTTTTTTGTTTTTGTATCTTTAAAAAAGTTTTCTGTTTGTTTTGAAAGTCTTGTTCTATCCTATGCATCATCCCATTGCTCTCTCATCTGTGATGCCAAACCTTCACTGGTGCAGAGCTGTGAGTCCTCCTCTGCCAGTCAGATTTGATTGAAGATAACAAGAGATCTCTCCCCAACTCCCATATGAAGTCTATTTTCCTATATTTTTTTTAAACAGAAGAACTTTTGAGTTTTTTCCTTTCACAGAATGTCTTATTCAGTCAAAGGCGTCCTCCATTCCTCTGATTAAACCTATGGGGGGGGGGGGGGGAGAGGAAGAGGAAGGAAGAGGAGAGAAATACAGATAATGAGAAAGGGAGGGGAATGGAAGAAATGCTTGAATCTGACTTGAGAGACTACTGTGAAGTGTAACTTTGTTATACAGTTTTTGATCAACATAAGACAGCTAAAATCAGAGTGAAACAGAATTGATAACAACTCTAATAACTTCATTATATTATGTATAATAGTGGACAGGTCTTACCTGTGCTGGGGGGTGTCAGTAGGGGCGGCTGGCGTCTTTGGGCCGTTTGAGTTGCACCTTGAGTCTCTTCATACCAATCTGGAAACCATTCATAGCCTGGATGGCAGCCTGGGCACTACCCGGGTTATCAAAGCTCACAAAGCCTGCATACATACAGACACAGACAGATGCTCTGGTCAGTGGTATTGTCAATCAGCTAACCGCTTGTTGTGATTGTTTAGAAGTAGTGTCACTCACCGAAACACTTGCTCTGATTGGTGGCTCTGTCCATGAATACCTTGGAGGAGATAACATTGCCAAAGGGCAGAAACATCTGCATCAGTTCGTTATCCCCAAACTCCTGTGGCAGGTGGTAGATGAACAGATTACAGCCCTCTGGTCCTGGAACACAAACACACACACACACACACACACACACACACACACAAAACACTGTTGGAGGCACCAGTATCATGATGGTACAGTACATTTTTAAGACACACAAAATCACAATGATGATGACACTCATGATGTTGTTGACAATGATGATCATGATGATGAAGAATTAGTAAATATAGTTCCTCACCCTCACCTTCCCTCTGCTGTTGGCCAATGACCTGAGGGTGCTGTGGCAGTGACTGACCGAGAGGGGTCAGTGTAGTCGCTGGGTAGATGGCTACAGAGGAGAGAAAGCGTGAGAGAGAGAGACAGAGGAGAGCGACAGAGAGAGAAGGAAATGACAAAAGAGGAGAGAGAGAAAGGGAGAGAGAGAGAGGAGAGAGCGATAGACAGGCATAAAGGGGGATGAAGTGGGAAAAAAAAGAGAGAGTGGGGATTGAGTTTATCCTATATGAGTCACATTCAACAGACTGGTGAAGACCTGGAGGTATCAAGGTCAGGGTTAGAGATCAGAGATGTGTACTGTACCTGTGTATTGCTGTACCCCAGTAAAGGCCTGTTGCAGTGTATCTGCAGCAGTAGGGCTCTGGGTGGAGTAGGGCGGCAGGGTATTGGTGTAGAGGGTCTCTAGAGGGTGCCCGTTAGCCTGGGGGGCGAGGCCGGTGTACCCGTTCATCATTGGGGCCACCAGGCTGGTCAGGGAGGAGGGCAGGGCGGCCGGAGGAGAGCTCAGACCTGCAGGGGGGAAATACACATTCACTACACCAGAGACAGAAATGATCACTACACCGCACAGGGATTGGACTTAATGTATATGAGAGAGAAAGGGAGAGCGGGAGAAGGATAGACAGAATGGAGAGAAAGAGTGTGTGTGTGTGTGTGTGTCTCATGTACAGTATGTGTGTACTGTTTGTGTGTTGTGTGTGTGCAGGTGTGTAACAGCAGGCGTCTCAAAGCTCACATGGTGATAAAAATCACTCTGCAATGTCAGCATAGCAACACAATGACATGCTGCTGTAAGACAGAGCAACCCGGATCTGCTCACTAAGGCAGCAGCAGGGGCATTTTACTGTGCTCACTGCTCACTGTCTTGTCTACAGCTGGGACAAATAAAGACGTTCTCCCACAGTGAAATGGGTTGAATGTGTGTCTGCACTAAACTGATACAGCCTCAGGAGGGAGATAGGGCCTCCAATCTGCATTGTAATTCGCCTGCATGATTCTGTGTGTACTGTGTAGGCATCTCAAATACTGTATTTGTGATAGGATAGTCTTTAGCGATATGTGTGTGGTGCGTGCGTGCGTGCGTAAGCATGTGTGTGTAAGAGAGAGGGAAAGAACCCATCCTGTTGGGGGAGGACGCAGAGAGCTGTGGGTTGGCAGCGCACTACATTGCTGCCTGCCATAAGATGAGGGACAGTGTCTGACAGACCAACCAACCTGCACATGTTCTCTATATTGTTATTGTTCAATGGTTATTTTGATCCTTGGTTATTGTTGTTACTGTTGTCCTGTTGACAATATTGATCATTATTACTTTAATTATGTTAATATTGTAAATATCCAAAGTAAGCTTTGGCAATATGTACATTGTTACGTCATGCCAATAAAGCAAATTGAATTGAATTGAATTGAATTGAAAGCAATACAGTAGATTATAGGGAGAAAGTGACAGAGAGTGAGAATGATAGAAAGCAATACAGAGATACAGTATCTGTTATTAATGGAATATGAAACATTATACACTTTCATGGACCACAGAGATTCCCCCACAGTAATATGAACTATGTGATCTATAAAACCAGACTCCTATTTGGCTCAATACCGAGAGAGAGAGAGTAGACTGTGAAGACCAGAGTAGAATAGTTTACATTTCACTAAAGGTATTTTCCTGGACATATTGTAGTTTATAGGCCACATTGTCTGCTGGTTCCCAGAAACTGATTTAGACCTAGAAACCAGGTGTGAACACTCTCTCAAGCAATTACTTGACTTGAGGGAGAAATCTCAAACATCTACACTAAGTGAGAATACAAAGGCAGTCTGTATATAATGTGTCTCCAGTGCAGAGTTACACTGTATTGATTATGTGGGATCAATGGTGTAAATTGTAAAACTACTAGTGTTGGGCGGTATCCAGATTTTCATACCGTCATACTGTTTCTGTACCTTACCGGGGTATACGGTATTACCAGAAGTGAACACAAGGGGCAATTTTTTTTAAGGCAACAGGGATCTTGATCCAGGAGGGGATTGAATGTCTCTGCTGTAACCAAGAAGCTTGACCTTGACATCTAGCCACTCAGCTAGCAAGTTAGCAAACCAAATGCATTGCTGGAGCCCTAAGCTCGATATCATTTATTTGACACATATTAGATTTCTTATAGTTATATTTAACTTATAGTTATAAGCAGTGGCGTAGCACGCACCCCCCAAATGTTGTATTATTATTATTATATATATTTTTAAATACCCCGGTATACAGTATAAACGGTATATCGCCCAAGCTTAAAAACGACCCCCAGTCAGAGCGATAGATCCCAGGACCGCGTAGTGAAATGTGATATCACACATTTCCAAGACTCATATGTAACTGACCAGGTATTGAACCCAGGTTGTCTGAGCATCTCGAGACTGTGTTAGCCCACTGAGCTAAAGCCTAGCCCTAGGCACTAGCTCTGGGAGCTAACACGAGTTCCCAGGTCTCCCACCTTACTCATCATGCATATTGCTGATTTATCCGACGTGACTGACCTGACACGAGATTGAGAGGGTTGGGCGGCAGACCGTTCATGGTTAGCGCCCCCATCTGGTGGATCTGGGCGGAGGGAAAGGAGAGGCTGGGGGCCAGGTAGCCCCCCTGAGACACGGCCATCACCGCTGCCTGCTGCTGCTGCATCAACTGATGGGGAGAGGAGGTGGATCGGGGAGGAAGGGGAAAAGAGGGAGAGAATGAGAGCAAGCTGTCAGTGAGGCATCGGTGTGTCAGAGTGACAGATACCAAATTGCGTGTGTGTGTGTGTGTGTATGTGTATGTGCTTACTGCGTGTGCATAGCTACTGTAGGTGCTGTAGCTGCTGAACGTGGGTAGGGCGACAGAGGGGTTGAAGATGCCAAACTGTCCAGCCATCTGCTGCATGCGCCGTATGGTCCTCTCCTTATCTGTGTCTGCAAACTTCACCACCAGGCTGGACGACGCTCCCTAGAGAGGAGAGGAACACAGCATGGATCAGTGTGTGTGTGTGTGTGTGTGTATGTGTGTGTGTGTGTGTTTATTGTACTTACAGGCATGGTCTGACTCCCATGCAAGGAACTGATTGCAGACTGCGCTTCAGAATGAGTAGAAAACTTCACAAATGCACAACCTAGAGAGAGAGAGAGACAGAGCGAGAGAGATAAATCAAAAAATGTCAAGCAGACAACCTAAGAAAATGAACGACAATGACAAATGGTTTGATGAAGAATGCAAAAACCTAAGAAAGAAATTGAGAAACCTATCCAACCAAAAACATAGAAACCCAGAAAACCTCAGCCTTACGCCTTCACTATGGGGAATCACTAAAACAATACAGAAATACACTACGGAAAAAGAAGGAACAGCACGTCAGAAATCAGCTCAATATGATTGAGGAATCCATAGAATCTAACCACTTCTGGTAAAATTGGAATACACTAAACAAACAACAACACGAAGAGTTATCTATTCAAAATGGAGATGTATGGATAAACCACTTCTCCAATCTTTTTGGCTCTATAACAAAGAACAAACTGCAAAAACATATACAATCTGCAAAAACATATACAGGCTTGGTGCGGAAAGCAGGAATGGACCGGACTGGGCTGGCGACGCGCACCACAGGCTCGGTGCAAGGGACAGGAACAGACCGGACCGTACTGGGGACACACACCACTGGCCCTACGCAGGGATCAGGAACGGGCCGGACCGGACTGGTAACACACCCCAGTACCTCTCGCCGTGCCTCTACACCTTCCTTCCCCTCTTTGACCAGTGGCCCCCGTAACCTGGCGGCCTCCTCTGCCAACCCGCTGGGCCGCTCTACCGCGGTCTCCTGCTGCCCCGTCGTCCACGGTGTGAGCCCCCCCTAAAACAATTTCTGGGCTTCTCTCCTACCCGTGGACCAGGTCTCCATATTTTTTACCAGCCTTTTGCCCTTCTGCTTCCACGTCAAGCCCCTCTCTTCCTCACACGGCTTGACCCAGTCGAGGAGGCGAAGGAGATCCGCTAGAGATCTCCCTGGCGATGGCTCCTGGACACGCTGCTTGGTCCAGTCTTGGTGGGATCTTCTGTCACGATCGTCGGGAACAGAGGAGGACCAAGGCGCAGCGTTGAAGGCGAACATACTATTTTATTAGTAATTACACGAACAAAACAACAAAACGATAACGTGACGTCCACGGTCTAACACAAACCACACTGGAACAAGATCCCACAAACCACTGTGGCAAACAGACTGAATAAATATGGTTCCCAATCAGAGACAACCAGCAACAGCTGACACTAATTGCCTCTGATTGAGAACCACTCTGGTCAACATAGAAATACACCAACTAGAAACAAGGAAACTCACACCCTGGCTCAACATACAAGTGTCCCCAGAGCCAGGGCGTGACACATTTGAGTCGATTGGAGGTGTACCTGTGGATGTATTTCAAGGCTTACCTTCAAACTCAGTGGCTCTTTGCTTGACATCATGGGAAAATCAAAAGAAATCAGCCAAGACTTCAGAAAAATAATTGTAGACCTCCACAAGTCTGGTTCATTCTTGGGAGCAATTTCCAATATTTGGAACCAAGGACTGATCACCCCAATCCACAAAAGTGGAGACATATTTGACCCCAATAACTACCGTGGGAAATGCGTCAACAGCAACCTTGGGAAAATTATCTGCATTATCATTAACAGCAGACTCCTACATTTCCTCAGTGACAAAAATGTACTGAGCAAATGTCAAATTGGCTTTTTACGACATTACCATAAGACAGACCACGTATTCACCCTGCACACCCTAATTGACAAACAAACAAAACAAATCAAAGGCAAAGTCTTCTCATGCTTTGTTGATTTCAAAAAGGCTTTTGACTCAATTTGGCATGAGGGTCTGCTATACAAATTGATGGAAAGCGGTGTTGGGGCAAAAACATATGACATTATAAAATCCATGTACACAAACAGCAAGTGTGCAGCTAAAATTGGCAAAAAAACACACACATTTCTTTCCACAGGGCTGTGGGGTGAGACAGGGATGCAGCTTGAGCCCCACCCTCTTCAATATATATATCAATGAATTGGCAAGGCACTATTTTATTTATTTTATTTCACCTTTATTTAACCAGGTAAACCAGTTGAGAACAAGTTCTCATTTACAACTGCGACCTGGCCAAGATAAAGCATAGCAGTGCGATAAAAACAAACACAGAGTTAAATATGGGGTAAAACAAAACAAAGTCAAAAATACAACAGAAATACATATAATATACAGTGTGCAAATGTAGCAAGTTATGGAGGTAGGCAATAAAATAGGCTATAGTGTAAAATAATTACAATTAGCATTAACATTGGAATGATAGATGTGCAAGAGATGATGTGCAAATAGAGATACTGGGGTACAAATGAGCAAAATAGATAACAATATAAGGATGAGGTAGTTGGGCGGGCTAATTTCAGATGGGCTGTGTACAGGTGCAGTGATCGGTAAGGTGCTCTGACAACTGATGCTTAAAGTTAGTGAGGGAGATAAGTGTCTCCAGCTTCAGAGATTTTTGCAATTTGTTCCAGTCGTTGGCAGCAGAGAACTGGAAGGAATTGCGGCCAAAGGAGGTGTTGGCTTTGGGGATGACCAGTGAGATATACCCGCTGGAGCGCAGACTACGGGTGGGTGTTGCTATGGTGACCAATGAGCTAAGATAAGGCGGGGATTTGCCTAGCAGTGATTTATAGATGGCCTGGAGCCAGTGGGTTTGGCGACTAATATGTAGTGAGGACCAGCCAACAAGAGCGTACAGGTCACAGTGGTGGGTATTATATGGGGCTTTGGAGACAAAACGGATGGCACTGTGATAGACTACATCCAATTTGCTGAGTAGAGTGTTGGAGGCTATTTTGTAAATGACATCGCCGAAGTCAAGGATCGGTAGGATAGTCAGTTTTACGAGGGCATGTTTGGCAGCATGAGTGAAGGAGGCTTTGTTGCGAAATAGGAAACCGATTCTAGATTTAACTTTGGATTGGAGATTCTTAATGTGAGTCTGGAAGGAGAGTTTACAGTCTAACCAGACACCTAGGTATTTGTAGTTGTCCACATACTCTAGGTCAGACCCGTCGAGAGTAGTGATTCTAGTCGGGTGGGCGGGTGCAAGCAGCGTTCGGTTGAAGAGCATGCATTTAGTTTTACTAGTGTTTAAGAGCAGTTGGAGGCTACTGAAGGAGTGTTGTATGGAATTGAAGCTCGTTTGGAGGTTTGTTAACACAGTGTCCAATGAAGGGCCAGATGTATACAAAATGGTGTCGTCTGCGTAGAGGTGGATCTGAGAGTCACCAGCAGCAAGAGCGACGTCATTGATATACACAGAGAAAAGAGTCGGCCCAAGAATTGAACCCTGTGGCACCCCCATAGAGACTGCCATAGGTCCAGACAACAGGCCCTCCGATTTGACACATTGAACTCTATCTGAGAAGTAGTTGGTGAACCAGGCGAGGCAGTCATTTGAGAAAACAAGGCTATTTAGTCTGCCAATAAGAATGCGGTGGTTGACAGAGTCGAAAGCCTTGGCCAGGTCAATGAAAACGGCTGCACAGTACTGTCTATTATCGATCGCGGTTATAATATCGTTTAGGACCTTGAGCATGGCTGAAGTGCACCCATGACCAGCTCGGAAACCGGATTGCATAGCGGAGAAGGTACGGTGGGATTCGAAATGGTCGGTGATCTGTTTGTTGACTTGGCTTTCAAAAACTTTTGAAAGGCAGGGCAGGATGGATATGGATCTGTAACAGTTTGGATCTAGAGTGTCACCCCCTTTGAAGAGGGGGATGACCGCGGCAGCTTTCCAATCTCTGGGGATCTCAGACGTTACGAAAGAGAGGTTGAACAGGCTAGTAATAGGGGTTGCGACAATTTCGGCGGCTAGTTTTAGAAAGAAAGGGTCCAGATTGTCTAGCCCAGATGATTTGTAGGGGTCCAGATTTTGCAGCTCTTTTAGAACATCAGCTGTCTGGATTTGTGTGAAGGAGAAGCGGTGGGGGCATGGGCAAGTTGCAGCGGAGGGTGCAGAGCTGGTGGCCGGGGTAGTGGTAGCCAGGTGGAAAGCATGGCCAGCCGTAGCAAAATGCTTGTTGAAATTCTCGATTATTGTAGATTTATCGGTGGGTGATAGTGTTTCCTAGCCTCAGTGCAGTGGTCAGCTGGGAGGAAGTGCTCTTATTTTCCATGGACTTTACAGTGTCCCAAAACTTTTTGGAGTTAGTGCTACAGGATGCAAATTTCTGTTTGAAAAAGTTAGCCTTTGCTTTCCTGACTGCTTGTGTATATTGGTTCCTAACTTCCCTGAAAAGTTGCATATCGCGGGGGCTATTTGATGCTAATGCAGTACGCCACAGGATGTTTTTGTGCTGGTCAAGGGCAGTCAAGTCTGAGGAGAACCAGGGGCTATATCTGTTCTTAGTTCTGTATTTTTTGAATGGGGCATGTCTATTTAAGATTGAGAGGAAATTACTTTTAAAGAACAACCAGGCATCCTCTACTGACGGAATGAAATCTATATCCATCCAGGATACCTGGGCCAGGTCAATTAGGAAGGCCTGCTCGCTGAAGTGTTTTTGGGAGCGTTTGACAGTGATGAGGGGTGGTCGTTTGACCGCGGACCCGTTACGGACGCAGGCAATAAGGCAGTGATCGCTGAGATCCTGGTTGAAGACAGCGGAGGTGTATTTAGAGGGTAAGTTAGTCAGGATGATATCTATGAGGGTACCCATGTTTACGGATTTAGGGTTGAACCTGGAAGGTTCGTTGATAATTTGTGTGAGATTGAGGGCATCTAGTTTAGATTGTAGGATGGCCGGGGTGTTAAGCATATCCCAGTTTAGGTCACCAAGCAGTACGAACTCTGAGGATAGATGGGGGGCAATCAATTCACATATGGTGTCCAGGGCACAGCTGGGGGCTGAGGGGGGTCTGTAGCAAGCGGCAACAGTGAGAGATTTATTTCTGGAAAGGTGGATTTTTAGAAGTAGAAGCTCAAACTGTTTGGGCACAGACCTGGATAGTATGATG